ATTTAATTTAATTTAATTTAATTTAATTTAATTTAATTTAATTTAATTTAATTTAATTTAATTTAATTTAATTTAATTTAATTTAATTTAATTTAATTTTTGCCAGGTCATTTTCTTGTTGCCAGCAGGGGGCGGTCACGCGACATGTTTCCTACCGACATTAAACAGAAGAAGAAGAAACAAACAGGAGAAGAAGAAGAAAAAGCTGCTGGCGCGAAGCTAATGAAGTTTACATTCATYATGAAGTTTTCTCAAACTGATTCTGTTTCAGATATTTATACTTTTTCTTACGTGCTTGGTTTTATTGGAGAGTTTAGCCTTTATTGATCTGTTTTAGATGTTTTAACGCGGAGATAATCTTATCTAAATTTAAATATTTAAGCTGCTGTTAGCTTGAGGACAGAGATGCCTTCGCTGGAGCTGAACGGAGTGACGGTTGATTTTCCTTTTACTCCGTATGAATGTCAAAAAGACTACATGAGAAAAGTCCTGCAGTGTCTGAAGAATGTGAGTTCCTGTTTCTGTTTTTTCTCATCGGTTTATAAAGAAAACAAAAAGCTGCAGGTTCCAGCAGTTTGATACAAATCTCTCTGATTATAAATCTTTATAGTTTAAAAAGGAGACAGTTCAGCCACGGACTGCATTATTCTTTACTAAAAGAATCATTAAAGCTGTTTGTTATTTGTAAAATCTTTATTCTGTTTTGTTTTCAGCCTTAGTTTTGGTTAAAGTTAGTTAATATATGCTGGATTTGATCTTTATCAGCAGCTTAAATCCATTTAAAAACCATTGTGTTGTACTGAATTAAATAGTTTTAATTCTCTTTAAGCTCTTCAAAGACTCTCAGTCCTGCTAATTATCAATAACTTCTGATATTTTAGTTTGTTTCTGTTTTTCACAGTTTCTGGAGTCAGTAGCTGTAATATTTTTAACTAAATAAACTTAGAAACATGTGAGAATCTAACTGTCAGATTATTGAGTGACCTGAGTTTGTTGGACTTCCTGTTTGCTGCAGAAGGAGAACGGCGTTCTGGAGAGTCCCACGGGCACCGGTAAGACCCTGTGTCTGCTGTGCGCCACGCTGGCGTGGAGGGAGCACTTCAGAGACGACATCTCTGCTCGCAAGATTCGCAGCCGGATGAACGGGGAGGAGATGTTTTCAAAAACGCCCCCCGCCTCCTGGGGGACGGCTGCTGCTCCGGACGGAGATAAACCGAGTGCGTGGATTCGTTCTGTTCTTATCAACGTGTTACAGTTTTTATTCAGAACTTCCCCGGTGGAGAAAATCCTCTGACTGATCTGTTTTTCCTGTCGTTCAGTGTTTTATACAGATGTTCCAAAGATCATCTACGCATCCAGAACACACGCTCAGCTGGCACAGGTCATCAGTGAGTTAAAGCACACGTCATACAGGTAAACTGGCTTTCTTTATCTGTAACACTTCTAAATTAAATATTAGATTTTGTGACAGGTTGCTCATTAGCAGTGGTGGGCAGCACTAATCTAAAAATTAGTTGCACTAACCCTAAAGCACTAACTTTAATATTTAGCTCCCCTAAAGGGCTCGACACACAGGAAGCGACAAACTACAGCGATTAACGGCTGTCATCGCAGCCAGGGTGAAACCCGACACACGGGACACGATAGCGATCGCAGCGTTGCGAAT